CCACCCCCTTCAGTGGCCTGGGCGCTTGGCGGCGGTAGCCAGGGAGCCACGTCTTCCAGCCCTCGGGATGGGCATCTTCATGAGGGCAAAGGAAGCCCCAGCTGGGGTGTGTGTGGCGCGGTGTGCTCCCAGGGCCTCTCGCTGAGGCCTGTGCAGTGCGGCTGGAGGCCATGCAGGCCAGGCTGTCGCCAGGCCGTGGGATCCCTCCATGGGTGACTGCACAGCCAGGCCCTCTCCATCTCGCCGTGCCCGTCCTAGGTCCTGTGCACACATGGGAGTTCCTCTGGCCAGCGAACGATACTGAACTGCAGCCTTCCTGAGCCGGCTGCCGTGGCTGGGGGAGCACCACCCGAATCCTACAGGAGCGGAGGGGGATACGTGCCACGGGGTTGGCTGTACGTGCCACATCTGAGGGTCTAGTCGATGCCATGGTGGGGTGTCCAGTGTGCCCTGGGCAGCACGCAGCCTCTGTGGGCTGTGCCAGCAGTGTGGATGGGCAAGTCCTGAGCAAGTTCTCGTTCTGGAGGCATGCAAACCCTTGACACAATGGGAGGTGTGTTTCCCTCTGACAGTACCGGGGCTGCAGGAGGGTCAGGGGGTACGAGGAGCCCAGGGACATGGGAAGCCAACTGATTAACAAAAGACTGTGTGGGAAGCCCGTCTGAGCACAGCAGTCTGAGGCTCAGGGCCCAACAGAGTCCTTGGGGAGAGTCTAGGGACCAGGGGGGTTGGCCATGGCCGAGGGACCTGCAGCTTAGTCCAGTGTGGCCCTTTGCAGCTCTCACTTCTTCCTGTTCATGATCTGGCTGGAAATCCAGTTCATCCCATCCTGGAGGAAAGAGAGAGGCATGAGCACAGCCCCAAAAGCATGGCAGGTCCTTGGGTCCTCTCCCATCTCTGCAGAGCCTGCAGGCCCCCATTCCTACCTGCACTCCTTCCCCAGACAAGGCTGAGCAGGCCTGGATCTGCCATTCCCGGTCCCGGTAGGTGTGGAGGCTCAGCCCTTCCGCAATTTCAGCTGCAGGTGCTGCAGCTACTAGGTCCTGCTTGTTGGCAAACACCAGCAGTGGGACCCCTGTGAGGGACTCCTCCTCAGTGAGCTCTGCCAGCTCCTGCCAAGACAGAACCATCTCCCAGGGCTGCTGCCCTCCTGCCTGTCCCTTGCCTAGGCTGCCCAGGGTGGGATGGGACACCTCACTCCCCTCTCTCTGGTGCTTTTATTGCAGGCAAAGCAGCTGTGAGCTCTCAACATCCCAAGGGAGAGACATGCACCCCTGAAGCTTCATCTGCCCTGAAGAGAGCCCAGGAGCCACACACAGCGTTACCTGAGGGCTGGAGCACTCCCAGCACCAGAGAGCGTCAGGCGCAGGGCAGCTACAGAAGGCTGCTGTCACCCTGTGCTGTTTAG